GTTGAATTTTAGGACTTCTTTGTTTATTTTGGATAACAGCTGTTTGTCAGATATATACTTTGCAACTTTTTTTTCCTGGTCTATGGGTTATCTTTTTATTATCTTATCATGTCTGACACAGAGTGAAAAATTTTAATTTCAATGAAGTTCATCTTGCCCATTCTTTCATTCCTAAACTATGCCATTAGTGGTATATCTAAAAAGTCACTGCCAAATTATACAGCTTTTCTCCTACATTATCTTAAAGGAACTTTATAGTTTCATGTTTTACATATAGTGTTGTGATTCTTTTTAAGTTAATTTTTGTGATGGTTGTAACTTCTGCATCTAGCCTCACTTTCATGTGTATGTCCAATTGTTTTAACACAACTTGTTGAAAAGAGAAATGTTTCATTTGTTGTTTCTCCCAGCTTTATTAAGATATAATTGACATATAAAATTTATATGAATTTGTGGTGTACAATATGATGTTTTATGTATACATTGTAAAATGATTAAGTCAAGTTACTTAATTTATCCATCAACATAAAAGAGAAAAGTTTTAGTTTTTTTGAGCATGGAAGTATGGAATTTATTAAAGCAAGCAAGACAAAAAGAAGCGTAGCTCATGTCAGGTGAGGGAGATCCTGATAGAGGGATGCTGAAAAAGTTTTAATATTAATGAATAAAAAAGAAAGTGAAACAGATGAATTCTTTGATGATGCCTATCCTTTATGTCAGGATTGTCTTCAGCCTCCAAATGATAGAGCCAAGAAAGTAGATGAGGGAGTATAATCACAGTGGAATGCATACACTAATAGGCATACTAAAGGAGCACTTAGAATTTTGAAATTCCCTAATCAGCCAAATTCTATTTCTAGTTATCAAGAGCTCTAAGAATGTGGATTACTAAGTGGACCTAAACTCATATGTCAGTTTTATTTCAAAGGGAAATCTTTAACAATAGTATGACTTTTTAATATGGCACTGGCTTTATGCTGTTAAATTTTCCTTATTAAGCTTTGAATAAGACACAGATCCCAACATGTGAAGAAACCAGTACTCAATTTCAGAAGCAAGTTGAAAAAGTAAGGTGGCACTGTTTTCATTCAGTTAAGCACAAACTGTACAAATATAAATGAATGTAGCTGTGACTTGTCAGTATCATTTGTAAAACAAATGTATTTGAATGAGCTATAGATACATGAATCAAAATGTTGTATTCTATAGATCAAGTAACCCCCATTCAATTTGCAATATAAATGCTCAAACTGAATCTATTTCCTCTCTGCCTGTATTCCAAATCACTAGTCGTATTTTTTATTGTTTCTGATTTACTGTTAAACCATCTATTGAGTTCTTAATTTCTGATTTTGTATTTCTCAATTCTAGAAGGTCTATTATTATGTCATTTTAATTTTTTCACGAAACTCTCCATCTTTTTAAATATTGTTCTATTTTCTTAAATATTTAAATCAATATAATCATTTTAAAGTTATTGTTTGCTAATTTAAACATCTATGATACCTGCTTTCACTCTCTGTAGATTATCATGACAATGTTCTTTCTCATTTCTTGACTGATAGTTTTATAACTATTTATCTGGCCACTATAGAAATCAATATGGAAGTTCCTTAAAACACTAAAAATAAGACTCCCACATGATCCTGCTATACCACTCCTAGGCATATATCCAGAGGAATATATTCCAGAGGAATGTAAGTCTGCATACAATAGACACACCTAGTAAATAGTGTTGCATGTTTATAGCAGAACTATTTATAATAGCCAAGCTAATGGATAAGGATTTTATATCTACATCTATATATCTATATCTATGTATACAAATAATACAATGGAGTATTAATAGAGTATTCAATGGAGCCAAAAGAAGAATGAAATTATGTAACTTTCAAGAAAATGGAAATCATCAAGTTAAGCAAAATAAGTCAGATTCAAAAAAAAAATACTGCATTTTTCTCTTATATGTGAGTTGTAGCTATTAAAAACACATGAAAGTCAAATGGAAATTATTTGGGGGTAAAGGTTCTAGTGGGAAGACAGGGGTGATAACAGAGGATAAACATGACCAAAGGACATTGCACACATGTATAAAAATGTCATAGTGCAACACATTATTTTGTACAATTAGCAAAAGCTAATAAAAAGGTCAAGCATTGCATATTCAGAAACAAGAAGGAAAAGCTTCAGATGGTGTCACTTTACCAAAGAGGTTCAACCTTCCCTCTGTTAGGCAGATGGAATATAAGGGGAGACAGGGGCTGACCACTATAATTTTGGGTTTCATTGAAAATCTTTAGATCCTTTCCTTCCAACTCTGAGATAACAAGAATCTCTGCTTGATTCTTTCAAGGTCCTTGGCTTCTATATTTGGCCTCACACCCAGTGAAAATTCAGAGTTTGCTGATTATCTTGAGAGGGTGATTGGCTATGTTTGAGATAAATCTAATCACCAACTTTACCATCCCAATTTTGATAGATGCCAAAATTCATTGCTGGTTTATCTGTGTTCTGTCAGGGGCCAAGATAGAATCCTCAGCCTCTAGCTAAGCCAGACTGCCAAACACCTCCAGGGACAAGGCAGTTGTTGCAGATTATTTTTATTTTTATTTTTTTGAGTGCGACTGGGGTTTGAACTCAGTGCTTCAATCTTGCAAAGCAGGTACTCTACTGCTTGAGCCACACCTCCAGTCCATTTTTTGCTATGGTTATTTTGGAGATGGGATGTTGCAAACTATTTGCCCAGTGCGGCCTTGAGCCAAGATTCTCTCTATTTGAACTCCCAAGTAACTTGGATTATAGACATGAGCACCAGCACCTGGCTATTGCAGATTATTTTGGAGTTAATTCAATTCATTTCTTCATTTGAGGATATCAGCTACTAACTATCCTCCTCATAGACGCTTGTCTGCTGAGCATTAGAAAAACATGAGTTATTCCACTTTGCTTTTCTGTGTTTGGGCTTAAAATTGTATCCTGCTATCTATGAGATTTTAGAACATAGTGGGTATGTTGGGGAAAAACAGAATTCGAAGTCCCTCTACTCTGCAATTTTATCATGCCAGATTCAGGTCATGGCCAAAAAAACTTCTACTGTTTTTCTGTCTTCCAGAAGCAATATTCTTCTTGAGCCAAGCTTAAGTTCACTATTTGCATCCAAAATTGGCAAGTATTTCTAGAATAAGCTTTAAATCTTTAGTTTAGGTTCTTCTCTTTCTTGAATTTTGCTCCCTTTGGTTCTTATTGGTTTGGTTGACCCCTGATGCCTAGTATATATTATCTCTGTGACTGATCCAGGGTTTCTAATTGCTGTCTGTGGGAGCACAGACCTGACATTAATTACTCCATCCCATAAGAACAACTCATGTAGGTTTCAGTTGATTCCTGCACACTTTTTAATAGGTGCAGATGAGGTATCTAGTATGATTTAGATAGAGAGTAAAGTTTTCCATTTGAACGCTAAGTTCTTGATACAAGGAATTGCCTTATGGATCTTTCTACCTATAAACTTATACATCTATCACCCATCCATCCATTGATCCATTAGTCAATCCTGTTTACAGTAATTCCATGATAATGATAATGGATTATATCACAGAAGACAATTGGTATCAAAGCTGTGTTGACATCTTGTGTTAACTCAGCATTGTCCAGTTGAACTTCCAGCAGTGACAGAAACATTCTATAGCTTCACTAATGAGTACCACAAGCTAAATATGGAGACTGAATACTTGAAATGCACCTACTACAATTGAGGAACTGAATTTTTAATGTTATTTAATTTTGATCAATTAAAATTTAAGTGTTCACATGCCCATATCATACTGGGCAGTACAACTCCAGACGGATTATATTGGTTCCTAAGCCTGGAAAACCTTGTGGAGTATTCAGGGAGACAATTTCAGAAAACATTTCTTAGAGTTAAGAAGCTGCACTGTCACTTCTTGACCTACTTTTTAAATAGAAACCGATATTGTATAGGGAGAAAAATGCATATCCTCATCTTTATTACTAAATAATATAGTAAATAGCCTACTTGTAAGTATTTTGTATGAAATAAAGAGTATATAAATAAGGTACTTTCCTCAAGTTGGAGAGCATTTTCCTTTTTTTATTTGGGTTTGTTGTGTGCAGCTGGATGCACACAGGAACACCACACTATATACAATGAAAAGCTGTTATTTTATATTTACTAAGAATGCATTTGATGTTGGCATTGTGGAACTAAGTGGCAATCCTAGTTGACTTCCCCTCTCTTCCCCTGAGTCAGGCTGACAGGATGTGCTGAGTAAGCAGGGTGGCAGCAAAGGATATTTAATATGATTCTCTCCGGAGCATGTGAGGTGACTCCTTCTCCTCCTGCTCTTCCTCATGCCAAATGATTTAAAGCAAGTACTAATGGCCAGGAGTCATAGTCTAAGTGTATTCTTTATTACCTCCAGAACTCCTCACTCCTCTTCCTTGACTTTTTCAACCAAAAGAGCAATTCCTTTATTTATATAAAAGCTAGAATTCTGCTTTTGCTTTATATAAGGAGTCTCAAAAAGCAAACCAATATTTTACATAGCTAAGAACATTGTGTGAAATAAAAGCAATGACCCTCTTCCCAATAGAATAAATTGGAATTTTTCTACCTACTTTTTCATATTTTTGGCCCCTTAAATGATTGAAATTATTTTAAAAGTGCAGGTAACTCAAGGGATTTATTCCTCTGCTTCCTCCTCAGTGCTGGTTGTGTTTTTAGTTCTTGTTGGAAAGTTCAAAATTGGCTTAGTGGTCGTGGCTGCAGAAGGACTTTTGATTGACTGCACATGTGTTAAAGCCATGCATACATTAATTACCAGGACACTGTGAAGCAGCAGGCCCTCAGAGACACACTTATGAAAAGAGTGGTTGACTCAGGCCCCACCTATACAGAGCTCAGTTCCTAAAAATAGGTGTCAAGTTGCATCCTTTAGACACATGGCTAAAATAAATTCAGCCGTCCTATCTCCTTTCTTCATAGACCCTTTGGTGGAGCTGGACTCCACTCTACTGATTGCTTTCAGGGGACTGGGAAATTTGCTGTACATGGAACAAGGGAGGAAACTACCCAGTGAAAAACTGTAAGGATATATGACATTTGTACAAACGTGGGGTTAAGTCTTTCACAAAAGGTATGTGTAGTATAGTCATTGATATGTGTGTGCTTACAAGGTTGTAAAATGTTCTTGCTAGTCACTAAAGATCAATGAAGATGTTAGGTCAAGGTTTCTTCATTACTAAAGAAAATACTCAGTTGGATTTTGTTTTGTGGTCATATTATTGCCTTATATTATGAAATTTAGGAGTTTATACATTAATCTCTGCAAAAAAGCATTTCTCATATTTAATATAGAAGAATATTGAACTCAACTTAATCAACAGTTGCAAGTTAAAAGTATAGTACAACCTACATCTAAAAAACTGAAAAATAATTTGTCATTTATGATTATAAATTGAATGAATATAGTAAGAAAACTGTATTTCATGGAATTTGGTGAGACAAAGGAAAAGTTTGAAATATTTTCAGTCATTGTGGCTTGCTTAGGGAAATAAAGGAAAATTATTCTTTTCCAGACTTAGTTTGATTTTTTAGTTCTTGCTCCAAACTATGGGCTCCAGCCATGGGCTCATCTCCTCTGGGAGTTTTACTGGAGTAAAGATTAAAGAATCAGGTTTTTACATGTTTTGCAGAATTAAGAAAAGCACTGCCAGTTGAATCTGCCAGCCCTAATTATAGTGACTACAAACTTAAATAGAGAAGACTGAGCTTACACTTTGAAGGTATCATGCCCTATATACTGTTTCAAATGGATTTTTTTCTGTCTTCGATTGCCTGTGAACACCTTAATTTGGTCCTGTTGTGCCTTAAGTGTTTAGATATTAAGAGGCTGATGTGATTTGGGAAAGACATTGTAACAGAATCTCCTAAGACACATCTAAAAGCAAGGACACTTTAAGATTACATAATGTAGAGTTTAAATTTAGCTAGCTGGTGCTGAACTGAAAGATATTTTATTTTTACCAGAGCTCTATTTGGTCACTGACAAGCTGTAGGTTGTTTGAATTATTTTAAAATTTTATGTGCAAGTGCCAAAGGACAAGTAAAATATTTACCTCAACTATATTCAGAGCCATGAATTTTTATATGAAAAAGCACCTGTTTAGGGTTTAGAAGATATAACTGGTGACTGGCAAAAGTACTGGGAACAAAAATTAGAAAGTACTGAATTTTATGCTTAAATATTTCTCTGCTCCTCTGCCTTGTCTTTGAGTATTTTTCCTTCTTACTAGCAACATAGAAACTAACAACTAGACCCATTTTTAAATGTCAGTCAGCATTTCAGATGTCTGCAATCTGGCACAGTGCCAGCTGTTTGGACTGAATGCTTCTGCTTTCATGGCGTATTAGGTATCTTGAAGGTACAGCTTCTCTCAAACACCTGAAAAATGAAAGTACACATTCTCTAATGATCACAGAGGGCTCTACTTCAGAACATGTTCTTGCAGAATGTCAGCCTCATGTCTTTTGTGATTACAGAGGAAGAGGAGGGTAGTCTTTCTTAGGTCTGCTTTTGGATAAAAAGTACATCGAGTTCATGGGTAATTTATTGTTGCTTACAGAAATAACTGCCCGCTATTCACTCACTTCCAGCATTCTGCCTCTCACTTTATATTTGCCACAACCAGAAAACTTCTGCACAGCACTGTTCTTTTCACTCGATACACATACCACTTATGATGAAATAATTTGGTGTTGGACTTCCCTGGTAACTTCAGTTCTGGTAATTAATATTGCACACTCATTCACATACTCACACAAACACTCATGCACACAACTCTGAGTTTTAAAAGGGACTGTTTTGTAAGGCCTGTTTAATAGGGAGTAGTCATGTCTAGATTCAGTAATTTATAGAGCAGGGTAAACACTTAATGAGTGCCTGGCAGTTAATTCCAAGATTTTTGATTGAGCAATCTGTGAGGGACAGAACTTAATTGGCATTACTCTGTCCTTTTTATTTGCTTCCCACATCCTCTTTTCAAAGTATTGGAGTTACATTTTGAAACCTAATTAAATTGCAATTTGTTTCTTCCTGTTTCTGAAATAAACACATGTTCATTCAAATCACACATTCACTTCTTGCAGAGTGGTGAGTAACCTCGGCCTTTTCTGATTCAGAAAAGACTTTTTTAGAACTGTAATTTATTCCATGTAGGTGCATGGTCCTTATATGACTGTGTGGTATGTTGTATTGTCTGTTTCCAATCACTACTTTGAATACCAAATGTTGTGTCTTTTCCAACAGCAAGCAATTCGCCAACACTAACTGGACATCCCACCATTCAATTCAGTTCTGACACTAACTCTCAGACTTGGCAAAGGCCCTAGTGGTTTTAGGCTCAGTCACATAGACTTCCCCTACTTCAGATAGGAAGAGCCCAGACCTATACACTTATGTCCTACTGACTATTGACTGTCGCCCCCAATCCCCTCCTCAGGTCTGATACTTATTAGAATGGCTCACATGACTCAGCAGCATATTCCACTTATTACAAACTGATGTATTATAATGGGTACAATCTAGCTACAGCAAAATAGAAGAGATGCATAGGGCAAAGCAGACTGTGGGAAATGGGGAACCATAGAGCTGTCTTCTCCATGACACTTTGATGTGTTCAAGGTTAAACCAACACTCTTGAGAAGGAATCTCTGAAATTAAAGGGCTTATTGATCTGTTGCAGCTGCTAGCCAGAAAAAGGACCAGGTCCTGGGACGGATTCCCAGAAGTACCAACAGCAAGACTAGATAGCAGTTACAGAATTGTCTGCCAGACCTAGCCCTTAGGACATTTTTATAGTGAAAACTTGGGGAAGGGGCATGTAGGTTGTTTATACATAAAGCCTGCATTTGGCTTTAGATCAAAGGTGCCAGGATCATGCAGAACAGAGAAGGCTTTGGGGTAGGACAGCTCATAAAGACAGCTAGTGCTTTCTGGGTTGGTTGGGACTGTAAGCAGGATAGAAAGGCTCCTAAGGGGTCAGCAATATGGGGTTTGGGGTCAAGCTTTTTAACATCTATTCAGAAATGAAAAATAATCCTCTATCTGCTTCTGGCAATACTGTTAGCTGGTAACTTTTCTGATCTCTCTTCTCTGCTATTCTCTGGCCTTGGCAATTAAACTTAGGACATCTCGGACTTTTTCTCTTATGATCAGCTACCCAGAAACTAACAAAATCTATCATTTAGGTTTCATGGAGGAAATCAATCTGCAGTCTCTCTCCCCTTCTTAGAGGTAGGAGGTAGGGATGAAAGTGCTAATTCTCTCATCCTTGGATTCATTTTTGTGGCAAGCAGAACCAATTCTGAAGCCACTCCCGCTCCCCAATCCTACCCCACCTCACTTGTCACGAACTATTCCACTACTATATAAAAAAGGCACCATTGCCCAGGAGACTTTAAGGATTTCTGTGTCAGAAACCAGGAACAAAGAGCAAATATTTGTTTTTGGTATATCATGAATGTCTACAATGTGGTCTTCTTCTTCTTTCAAATGCCATTTATAAACTCCAGATTAAAGATTTCATAGTATTTATTTTCCTAATCATTAGAATCCATCTCTCATGAATTTAACTAACCTGAGCATTTTTTCATTTGTACAATATAGTTAGTAAGGGCGTAAACTAGGCAATGAAAAGAATAAAGGTTTTCTTAAGACAAATCAGCAAATTCAAATATTTGATACATCAAATGACAACGGGTCTATATTTAATGACTTTGGGGACTTTCTGTCTCATTGATGGCATAAAAATAATCTGTGAGCTGCACAGTAAGTAATCTAAATTCCTGGTAGAGTAGTTGCACTTCTTAAAATATTACCAAAGATAAAAGTAATTATGACATAGATGACACAAAGCAAAGAACCTTAGTCATTATTTGCTTCAAGTCCTTTATGTTCTAGATGAAGAAAACAACATATTAGAACATTAACTAGTAGCTGATAGAGGGTTTAAGCACAGAGATCTAGCAACAAAGTCCACATCATTTTGTAAATCTTTGTGCCATAATATCAACTCACCCTCTCCCACATGACCTGGGAATCATTTCAAGGGAGATTTTGACAAAATCTTATTTTAACAGCCATAACCTTTTATTGTTTTTCATTTTGCATTTCATGATTTTCTTAAAATCAGAACAAATTTTATAAAAGAAAACCTGATCACATATTCTGTTAAAAGTCAAAGGATGATGACTGGCTTATTTGTAAATTTTACTAAATGTTTGTGATCATCTTCTTTGTTAGATGAGATCCCCTCCCTCAGCCCCCACTGTCTTGTCTTTGGACACTTGTCATTTTTCACTGCTTTTTTTGGCAAGCCCTCATGTGTAGCCCTTTAATGCTTTTATAATTGTACACAGGATATTTCCTTGTCTTGAGCACAATGATTTAGGTATGTCTTATTGCTCAAAAGTAAATAATTGCCAAATTGCTCCAGGCCTACATATGACTTAAAATAAATATAATATTAAGAGTTAATTTTGGCAAGTCTCTCTGTTAGTCAAAGATCCAGTAACTCTTTTCCCCCCAAAATCTGGTTGTTACCAACAAAGAAAAGCTAACAACAACAACAACAACAACAAAATCTCATGTCACATGTTTAAGAGCACAGTTTGAGATTATAGCTTCAAATCACATGCTTAGTCTTTTTCAAAAGTTCAATAAAGGTGGAATGAATATAAAATAATGTTCAAATAACAATGATTACCTTTATTTTACTTTTAATTTATAGGAACTCAATCACATTGTAATGAGTTGTAGGTAGATATCACATTATGAAGTACATGGGTTTTTGAAAATTGTGTGCATTGAATTTTGTTCAGTCACATTTAAAATATTTAATTGCATTATAATGTCATAAGCAATTTATCAGTATCTCTGTTGTTGATTTTTTGTCTGTTTTTAGTCAGCCTTCTCATAATAAGAAATGGGATTTATGTTCTTTAACTACTAAGCCATTTAGACAAATAATTAGAAGTTTATAAACAACTATAGTGATTAAGTGCTCCAGGGAAACAGTGAAAATCTTTTTATAAAGTTAAAGCTTGCTTATTGATTTATCAGTTTTGTATGTGGAA